ATCTTCCTCAGGGGTGTGTTTTGGTTCTATATCCTGGTCCCTTGTTTCTCCTGCTTTATGTTGGGTCTTTGTGTGGACTGTGATGCTCTGTTGTCTCCGAGGCATTGTGATGTTTTTGTGTTTATATTTAATTGGTGATTGTATGTTGGAGTGACTTGCCCATGATTTTCATTTTCTTTGTTTTGTCTGTATATTATCTATGCAAGCAGGGTTCTGTGCTGTGCTCTTTTATTCGCTAGTTGACAGCACTTACACACTCACCACTTGTCTCCTCTCCTGTTGTCAGCCTCTGGTATGTCCCTGACAAACAGAGCCTATTCTTAGGTCCTGTTTTCCTTCAGGTTTATCCTCTGGTTGGTGCCTAATCCACTTCTTCATAGTTCCTTTCAAAGCTCAGGGCTCCAGGATTATCTTCCGTATCTCTGTCAATTGGTTTTTCTTTTCTTTGTTGAAGAGGGTCTGTATTGCTTGTCTGCCTATTCCTCCATCTTACCGGAATTCCTCAGGCAATGGGTTTTTGTTTGTTTGTTTACCATTAATTACAAGAGTTAGAGCTACAGAATTTGAGAGGCAGCATGATCTGGTAAAGCAAATTCGGGCTTTGGAGTCAGACTAGCAAGTTTGGGCTTTGGATCTGGGTTTGTTTATTTCTAGTCATCTATCTGAGGCTGCACCAGTTATTAAATCCCTCTATTTCTTCATTTTGGGAGCTCTGGTAGCATAGTGCCTGAGGCACTTGACTGCTAACCAGAAGGCTGGTGGTTCAAACCCACCAGCCACTTCTCCGAAGGAAGGTTGGGCAATCTATTTCCGTAGTGATACCGCCTCGGAAACCCAAGGAGGGGTCACTATGAGTCAAGTCCGACTTGATGGCATATAACAACAACAACAATTTCTTCATTTAAAAGATGAGGACAGTATGTACCCTGAAACTTTTCAAGAATTTCATTAGATATGTAGTCAGTTAGCTATATCCAACTACCACTTGGTGGACAAACAGAAAAATTTAGTTTCTCCAACATTCAGTTCAATTTGCTCCCTCTTTCCCAGTGGGAGGGAAAAAAAACCTGGGGCATTAACTAACTTCCAAGAATAATGATCAAGGTTTTATTAAAAGAAATGTTCGTAAGTAAAATGATTACCAAGAAGGTACTTTATAGCCGGGGTGGGGGATAAGGGGGTCTACCTGCAATCAGTCCAGAGAACATAAAGTTTCAACACGTTGGTTATTAATTCTATGGTATTTTAATCCCAAAGTACACAGATTTGGAGGTTTTCCTATGTATTTAAGTGAAAACACCATTTGTATGAATAGGAAAGAGATCCAGGGCCTGAAAAAGTTCATTTTTTTCTCTGGACAAGATCCTCTATAAAAGATAATTAATTGTACTCAGGTCACTAGAAGGTTGTATACAGGAGCCCTGTTACATAGTAAGTGGGCATTTTGTGTCTTGTTTCCCAGCACTTGATAAACCGTGAGGAAGCATTCAGGACGAAAATCTGGTTTGGGAACAGAGGCTTGAGTTAGGTTTATTTTAGAGAGACGGACCCAGACCATCTCAGACGCCAAGTAGTCTCTGAAGATGTAAAATCTAGCACGAGGATGATCTATGTAGGAAAGAGATGGCCGGTGACCTACACGGAAGCAGGAAGGAGCGGGCGGCTAAAGCCAAAGCCCGCCCTCGGGGACCGGCAGCCACTGGGTCCCCTCCACACTCTGCCTGTAACCCCAGTCCACAAGAGAGGATGAGCTTGGAAGGGGCGCGTCAGGGGCCTGCCTCCCTCCCTACGCACCAGACTACGGCAAGACCGATCTGCGCCTAAAATGCAGTGGGGCCCGAGTAGAGGCCCAGGTGCATATTCAACGTGTAATCACCAACCCGGCATTACCCTCAAGGCCCGGGAATATGTATTTAGAATTTGAGGAAATTCTCAAAAACCACCACAGTGCGGGAACAAGGAACTCCATAGAGACAAGATGCTCTCAGCCCAGAGCGCGCGGCAAGAGGCCTCGCGGTCATTTTCATCAGCTCCCCTTCCCCGGCCTGATTTTGTTCTATTGTCAATCGGTCCCTAAAAATAATGTCGGAGTGGGGAGAAGGCACAGTTTTAAAACCGTAGCAGCCAAGGTCCCCTCAGTTTACAGGAGGCCCTGACAGCCCCGCGCACCAACCAGAGCCAAGGGCGCGAGCGCGCCCACGAGAGAAACGGCCTGGCGCTCAGGGACGTGCACTCACCCGGAGCTCTCCCTCCCTCCGCCTGCCCCTCACACAGAGCCACTGGGCGCCGCCGATTCCTCCGCGCAGTCAGCCGAGGCGGGCCTCGCTTCAGTTTGCGCTGCGGCCTCCGGCCTCGGGCGTCGCTGTATCTGCCTCTCCACTCCACTCCCGCGTCTTCTGCTCTTCGGCGGGGGCGGAAGGCGGAGCGGAGCTGGGCGGCGGGGGCGGTGTCGCCGCGGTCTAGAGGCGGCGGTGGTGGCGGAGTTGGTGGTCCCGGCGCGATGGCCGCCTCGGTGTTCTGTTGCCTGCGGTGCTGCAGAAACGGCGGTACCGGCCACATACCTCTAAAGGAAATGCCAGCAGTGCAGCTGGACACGCAGCACATGGGTAAGGCCCCTGCCCAGACCCAACGGCCCTCCCCGGGGTCAGCGCGGTTACTGATTCTTCTGCTCCTCACCCTGCGACCCTGTCCTCTCACCGTGTCGGTCTCTCTATGAATTTCTCTCAGACACCAGCCCACTCTCTCTTGACCTGGTTCTGTATTCAAAGCTACGGCAGCCCTCTGTGTTCCTGTCGTCCGGAGACGGGTGTGATGACATACCATCTCACACCCATTTTCTCCGAGCTGCATCCTTCTGGGACCTGTCACATGTCCCCAGACATGCGGAACCGGCAATGCCCTGGTGCTCCTCCAACAGTGCCCTACTGTCTGCTCCAATCAAAACCGACACTTTTCCAAAATGTTTTAGATCTGATCTTTAATCCTTCTTCCCAGACAGAAGATTCTTTCTCTTTAACCCCACCATTTAAAGATTGAGGCTTGTTCTTTTGGAAGTGAGTCCTCTCACCTTCCAAAGTTAAAGCTAATTGCAGAACCCTGAAGTCACACCTCAGGTCAGAAAGTGCCATTTCAACTAAAACTCCCATTGCAAGACAACTCCTTAGTCACGGTTGGGGTGCTGTAATTTCATCTGACTGGCCTCTTTCCCTGGTGACACAGTGGTTAAAGCACTCGGCTCCTAATCAAAAAGTAGGCGGTTTGGCTTCTCCGTAGAAAGGTATGTCTGGTTCCGAAAAGATTTATAGACTTGGAAACCCTGTGGGGCAGTTCTACTCTGCCCTATGGGGTTGCTATGAGTCGGAATCAACTGGGTTTTTTCTTTCGCCTCTTCCCAGTAGGTCTGGCTATTGCAAAATAAGAGAGCACTTTGCTCCTTTGCATCTAGCTTTATTTTTCCTTCCAATTCCAAATGGTCGTATAACCTCTCATCTCACATTCTTCTTTTTCCCTCCATAGCCTTTTTTTTTTTTTTTTTTTTTGCATTTTATTAATTATGTCCTAGACATATAGTTCTATGGTTCTGGAATAAGGTTCTGGGAGAGATTTCTCCTTCTAATGATTTCAGTTATCTTGTCTTTGTGTGGATTATTCTATTCTAAACATATTTCCGCACCTTTGACTTTTCTCACATCTCCTTATTTAAAAGACATGCTGTGAAACAAAGTTAATTCTTAATATTCTAGCAAAATTCTTTACTGCCCCAATTCTTTATAATTCTGGAGACATTCTGCCCATTATATTTCTATACCATGTACTAAACCCCAAGTGTGATGATTATATACCACCTTCTATGTGGGTATTTACCTTTAGTTCTTAGATCTGCCCAAGTTTAGTATAGAACCTTATCCCAAAACCGAAACACATTGTTGTCACATCAAATTATGAAATTATGACTTGTAGCAACTCTATAAGACAGAGTAGAACTGCCCCATGGGGTTTCCAAGGCAGTAAATCTTTACAGATGCGGACTGTTTCATCTTTCTTCTGTAGAGCAACTGGTGGGTTCAAACTACTGACATTTTGGTTAGCAGGTAAATGCTTAACCACTGTGCCACCAGGGCTTCTTATAGAACCTTATAAATAGTATATATGTGGTGTGTGTGTGTGTGTGTGTGTGTGTGTATAT